CTCTTTGGCACCCAAAAGGATTTCTTATTTGAGCCCATCTATGGTGTACCAATGAACTTAGCTTTCACACCATTTGTACCCTTAGTAAGCACATAGAAAGAATTAATCTTAATTGAGGATATATTAGCATTTTTGCTCTTATTCTTGCACTCATGCTCTTTATGACCAACTTGCTTACAACAAGTGCAAAACCGACCATTGTTCTTCATAAAACTAGTCTTGTGAGGAGCAAAGGCCGCCTTGCCTTTCTTGGGGATATAGCCTAATCCCTCTTTGTAGAGAGAAACTCTTTGGCTACCTAAGCACATAAGCAAGCGGTCCTCACCACCATAGGCCTTAGCCAAGGTGTGAGTGAGCTCATTGACCTCCTTCTTGAGGGTCTCATTCTCAACCATTAGTGAGGCATCACATGTGAAACCGTCACTATTAGATGAGATGGAAGTAGAAATGCTACAAGAAGGGTTAGTGGAAGCAACAATGATATGCTTATAAAATGATTCATCAATTATATCATAAGTTAAGCCTACATTACATGTCTCAATAAGCTTCTTCTTATTTTGCTCATCAAGCAAAGAGGAATGAGCTTTTTCAAGCTTCTTGTGAGCCTTGCTAAGCTTCTCATAGGCTTCCTCTAGCCTCTCATGAGATGCTTTGAGCTTATCAAAGGCTTGCTTAAGGGCTTTTATTTCCTTACACAAGCTTTTGCATTTCTTTCTCTTAATATCGAAGTGTTCTTTAGCATCATCTAGCATGTCAAGTAGTTCATCCTTAGTTGGTTCATCATCATCACTATCACTTTTATTTTTATTTTCATTTTCATTATCATGTTCCTCATCACTTCCATCATCACAAGTTTATACCTTAGTGGCCTTAGCCATGAAGCATGATGGAGTGTCGATGAAAGAAGGCTTCTCATTGATAGCAATGCTTGTAAGTGCATTCTTTTTGGTGGTCTTGTCATTATCACTATCATCATCATCACTTGAGGAAGCATCATTATCCCAAGTGACCATATATGAACCACCCTTCTTCTTCTTCTTGAAGGTCATCTTATCCTTCTTCTCTTTCTTTTCCTTCTTGTCCTTCTTCTTTTTCTTCTTGTCATCATCATTGTCACTATTGTTTGGGCATTGAGCAACAAGATGATCTTTACTTCCGCAATTGAAGCACCTTCTTGACTCTTCCTTGTTCTTGGATGAAGACTTCTTTCTTCTAGCACGGTAGCCCTTCTTCATCATGAACTTACCGAATCTCTTAACAAAGAGAGCCATCTTCTTATCATCCATCTCATCAAAGCTTAAGTCTTCATCTTCACTTGATGATTCTTGCTTTGCCTTGCCCTTGGATGATGTGGCCTTGAATGCCACACTCTTCTTCTTGTCATCCTTCTTGTCATCTTTCTTCTCCTGCTTTTCTTCCTTCTCATCATCATCTCTATAAGCATCATCGGTCATGATATCTCCCAAGATTTGGTTTGGTGTCATTGTGTCCAAACCGGTCCTCACTAACAAGGTGACCAATATGCCAAATCTTGCAGATAAGCATTTCAAGAACTTATGAGAGAAGTCCTTGTCCTCCACCTTCTCACCAAGTGGTTTGAGATCATTGACAAGCACTTCCATCCGATGGGACATGTTCGGCATAATCTCATCTTCCTTCATCATGAAGCTAGCAAATTTCTCCTTGAGAATGTATGCCTTTGCACCCTTCATTGCCTTGGTGCCCTCAAATGATTCTTCCAACTTCTTTCAAGCCTAATGAGCCATCTCAATGTTCTTGATTTGCTCAAATGTGCTCTCATTAATTACATCATGAATGGCACTTAGAGCAATGCCATTGTTTTGGAGAAGCACTTTTTTGGCCGCGGTGGGATTCTCCGGATCGGCAATCTCAATTTTGATTTCTACCACCTTCCACACCCTTCCATTGATTGACTTGATATGTGTGGTCATCTTTGACTTCAATATGGATAATTTGTGCTATCAAATTAGTGTGGCTTCTTGGTGTTGTTGATTTGAGTTATTTTTACACTGAAGGTTGTTAAGCCTCAAATTGCGGTGACCACGGCTCTGATACCACTTGTAAGGTCCTAATGGCTAGAAGGGGGGTGAATAGCCTATTAAAAATTTCTACAACAACACTAAAACAAATGATTAGTCAATAAGATAGCGAAGCGAATTTTGCGTTAGCACTATACTTGGCGTTGCAAGCCACCTACCAAATTCAATTTTCTATGATCTCACTAAAACAAATGATTAGTTAATAAGATGGCGAAGCGAATTTTACGCTAGCACTATACTTGGGGGTGAATAGCCTATTAAAAAATTCTACAACACTAAAACAAATGATTAGTTAATAAGATGGCGAAGCGAATTTTGCGCTAGCACTATACTTGGGGTCGCAAGCCACCTACCCAATTCTATTTTCTATGATATCTAGTATATCACAACAAAGCTATGTCACTAATATACACCTAGATGATCAACCTAGTGAGAGTAATACAATTAAATAATACATTATCTAGTCTTAACTACCACTAGCTCTATCCAAGTGAATGTATAATGAAATACAAGAGAGTGGAAGAGAGGTATACCGTCGTGGCAAGTGACCAATGAGTAAATACCAATGAATACCAAGGAGACAATCAAGACCCAATGATTTTTCTTCCGAGGTTCACTTGCTTGCCGGCAAGCTAGTCCCCGTTGTTGCGATTCACTCACTTGGAGGTTCACGCGCTAATTGGCATCACACGCCAAACCCTCAATAGGGTGCCACACAATCAACACAAGATGAGGATCACACAAGCCACGAGCAATTTACTAGAGTACCTTTTGGCTCTCCGTCGGGGAAAGGTCAAGAACCTCTCACAATCACCACGATCGGAGCCAGAGACAATCACCAACCTCCGCTTGACGATCCTCGCTGCTCCAAGCCGTCTAGGTGGTGGCAACCACCAAGAGTAACAAGCGAATCCCATAGCGAAACACGAACACCAAGTGCCTCTAGATACAAACACTCAAGCAATGTACTTAGATTCTTTCCCAATCTCATAAAGATAATGAATCAATGATGGAGATGAGTGGAAGAGCTTTGGCTAAGCTCACAAGATTGCTATGTTAATGCAAATGGTCAAGAGAGTGAGTTAGAGCCAGCCAAACGATATTTATAGACACCCCTAAATAATAGAACCGTTGGCTTAATTATTGGGCTGACTGTGAGACGACTAGACGCGCAAGTCGTTTGCATCGGACGCGTCCGGTGGGTGACCGGACGCGTCCGATCGCTGAGTCGATCGCTGCGTCCGGTCGCAGCCTGACCGCCCAACGGCTATCTCTGCACAGTAATACTACGTGATCGGACACGCTATTAGAAAATGACCGGACGCGAGAGACGCAGCGTCCGGTCGAGTCCAGAGAGCTCCTAGAGCCGCGCTGGGCCGACCGGACGCATCCGGTCACACCGGACCGAACACTCTCAGCGTCCGATTAATTATGGTGATGAAAACCCGAGACTTGCTGGTTCACACCGGACGACCGGACGCGTCCGGTCACTCTCTGCAATTCTTCATCGGGCTATTTCACTTTGACCTGACGCTGAACAGTAACTGATCAGCGTCCAGTCACTTTCACTTAGTCTCTCACCTTGGGTCCAAATATCGGACGCGTCCGGTCCTGATTCCGGACATGTCCTGTCAGTTCCGTCTGACTACCCGAAGTCTGGATAGAATACCGGACACGTCCGGTCACTCAGTAACCAGCGCGACTAACTCATTTTCAACTCTATCTTCTTTACCCTTGCTCAAATGTGCTAACCATCAAGTGTATCATCTTGTGCATATGTGTTAGCATATTTTTACAAATGTTTTCAAGGGTGTTAGCATTCCACTAGATCTTAAATGCATATGCAATGAGTTAGAGAATCTAGTGGCACTTTGATAAACCGCATTTCGTTATGAGTTTTACCCCTCTTAATAGTACGGCTATCGATCCTAAATATGATCACACTTACTAAGTGTCTCGATCAACAAAACAAAAAACTCCTATCAAGTTTTACCTTTACTTTGAGCTTTTTATTTTTCTCTTTCTTCTTTTCTAAGTTCAAGCATTTAATCATCACCATGCCATCACCGTCATCATGATTTTTACCATTGCCTCATCAATTGGAGTAGTGCTATCTATCTCATAGTCACTTTATTAAAATAGGTTAGCACTTAGAGTTTCATCAATTTACCGAAACCAAATGTTTTTCACGTGTGTGGAAGGTAGAGTGGAGTAGAGGGGAGAGGCGAGGCAAGAGACGCTGCAGCGGAGGCTGGCAGCGCTGTGTTGGTGGTTGCTACCGGAAGGAATGAACGAAGGGATAGGATTATGGTTAGTCAAGATATATATATCAAGTCGCTTGGGTTTTTAGATGGGCCTTCTCTTCTGGGTCACGTCTGTTCCTTTGTTAGCGGGGCGATGATACAGAGAACGGGGATGGGGACGTGCTACCATCCTTGTTCCCGTCAGCCCCGACAGGGAGCAAGTTTGAGATAAATTTACTACCGTCCCCCTGTTTTCCGCGGAGATTCGGGGATCGGGTCCTGTCGCCATCTTTACACCCGTTGCGCCTGCGCTTACATCCTTCGCCAGTCTGTCGCCGTTCACTACGCCGCGCGGCCTTCCGACACGCCGAGACGCGGCTCCATCGCCGAGGTCGTCTTCTCCGGCCTCCCCTCCGCCGACCAGATCCGCACCGCCAACGGGCTCGCCGCCGAGGACCCCGACTCCTCCTCTTCCTCCCCGTCGCACCTGGTGCCGGACGTGGCGCTGAAGGCCACTCCACCGCGGCCGCGCTCCAGCAGAAGGTTCAGCACTGCCCTCCCTCCCTGGCTCGCTCTTTCTGGCCCCGATCGGATCCGCCCCCTGTGTTAGGGTTTGGGTGACGGGGTGGTACTCGATCTGACGGCACGGATTTGATTTTCTTGGCGTCTGCCTGTGCAGTTCGATGGCTTGGCGGCGATGGTGCAGGCCATCCTCTCCAACGACCCCACCGTGTAGCTTCAGGCCACCACGCAGTTCAGGAAGCTGCTCTCCGTAGGTGTGCCCCTCTTTGTCAAGCTCCTCAACTCCCACAGCGAAGATGTTCATAAACAGGCATGCACTGAATTGCAGGAGTTACTCTCTTGTGTATGAGACTTACGTAGAGTGATGCTTAGGTTCTTTTTTATTTTTATTTTATTTTTTTGCAGGCTGTATGGGCTTTAGGTAATGTTGGTGGTGACCCTTCAAAGTGCCGTGATCTGGTGATTGGCCACAGTGGGCTATTCGTCTTGCTGCAGCAGCTTAATAAGCTTGCTAATCTCTCAATGCTGAGGAATGCCACATGGACTCTCTCCAACTTCTGCCGGGGGAAGCCACAACCAAAACTTTGATCAGGTTACTATCTGGGATTGCTTTTTTGTGTGTGTGTGTTGGCCAAAGTTGATCCTGTGAATGATATTGGTTTGTTTTGTTCATGCTTGAGTAGTTCAAACCAGCATTGCCAGCACTGCAGTGCCTTATCCACTCTCAGGATGAGGAGGTCCTAACTGATGCCTGTGGGGCTCTCTCATACCTATCTGATGGGACTAATGACAAAATCCAAGCTGTTATTGAATCTGGTGTGTTCCCTCGCCTTGTGTAACTTCTGATGTAAGTGCAATTTTTTATATATGTTTTTCTCTATACCATTCTAAAGTTTTACCATGATAGATTGAAACCGTCACACCTGAATTTTTATTTAGGCATCCTTTGGCCTCTCTACCCATTCCAGCTCTGCGCACGGTGGGTCACATTGTAACTGGGGATGACATGCAGACTCAGGTAAACTCAATTGGCAAGTTGTTCCTTTTTAATGTTTTTTTTACAGCTTTATGTCCAAGCTCTGTTGTCTTGTATGAGCTGGGGACAGCTATAAATACTGTACTAGCTACAAGTTATTCTGGAATGGCGTCATTCCATTGTCTTTCTTAGGTGAATATGCATGGATTTAGCGCATTTGGCGTCTCCAAGCTGGATAAGTTTTGTTGGGTACAATTAGCCTTTGTGGTGTCTTTTCATAGAGAAATGAATTAGCTAGAGAAAATGATAGCCTAGATTTGGTTCAGCCAAAATGATCAGGTAACTACAGAGTGGATTTTACATTGGCTCGGGAACTGTTATGAGAGATACGAAGCTGCCATTTTGACTGAAATAACTCAAAACTGTATTCAGGCCAGCTAATAAAAAGGATGTCGACTTCAGTTTTAAACTTTTAATGTAGCAAAACTTTTTTGCGACTTTAGTCATAACATAGAAAGTTTCTGGGAACAGCCTTGATGAAAGCAGAGGTAAACAATTGTTAGATTTGGGGTTGAGGAATGTTGTGCACTGAAAGCAGAGGTAAACAAAATGTTTGTTTATTACTTTTCATACGGAAAAATACCTGTTTAAAGGAAGCTTTTAAGATCGGTTTCAACTTTCAAACAATCTGTGTAGACTTTTAAACATGAATTCCATTTGAATATTATTTCCTATACTTGATCTTTGATGTGTAGGAGAATCATCCGAATCACTCATGTCAAGGATCTTGAATAAATTAAGGATGGAGCAAGAGATCACAGTATGATTGTGTTGCCCTTAATTGGTTCACTTAATGGAAATATGAATATTTAGGAATTGGTTCCAGTCTGTTACATGATCAAACTGTCTGAATGATAGGTTCAGTATGTCATGTCTTTGATATCATTGTTTTGACGTTTTGGCAATGGTTCAGTAAATGCAATGCCTTGTCTATGGAAAGACAGTGTAGTTTCATTTTATTCTTAACAATGGAAACATATAGTGAATAAAATGCCTTGTTTTTATCTCTCGGTTCATGTCAAGTGATTTTGAAGTTTATTTTTCATGACATTCTGTGGGGGTACTATTAGTTTATGCAATGCCTTGTCCTATTAGCAAAACACTGAACTTTCAGTGCTATGGAAACAACTTTGACAAAAACACAATTAGCTAAGTACTTTAAATTTGATAGAATTAACTTTGGACACTTAACGTGCCCCGATATGGCAGTAGAAAGCTCTATGTTTTTATTGATGGCCTACACTGCAACTGACTTGATCTCAGCAATCCATAGGCAAAATTGACTTGATCTCAGCTCTATGTTTTAAGAAATTGCAGTCAATGGCAGGGCCATGTCTAGGACTCTAGAATGAGGGCTGATCTGCATTCTGCACTCTGAAGCACAGTAGCAGGCTTATGTGCATCTTTAGGAACAAAAATTAATATCCCTTCTCAAAGAAAAAAGGAACAAAAATTCCACCATTTAAACATAAAAAGATAAAAAATGCCTTTCAGCACACTGCCTCTAGGTAGGTCTGTGTTCAGGTTGCAGTAGGGTTAATGGTACTTCAAACAATTTGGGGGACTGAGTGAAGAATGACTTATTTCCTTAGCTCGCATAAACTTGTTGTGGTCCTGACAAGAGGTATTTTACGATGGATCGCCCTTTGAATACAATACTAATGACTAAGTTCTCATGCTACAAATCAGGTTTCTCATCAGGAAATATATGAATGCTTGCTATGGTCAGCACCATAGATGCATTGTTTTGTACTTTTACTGTAAGTGGAGGTTGTTCTGCTGCTGAGCAACTTGAGGTACTCTTCACTGCAAGGTTGTCATCATCAAGTTTCATTAACAGTGGCAAGACGCTCAGTGACATCTTCACTATTAGATTCGGAATCAGAGGAAGCGTAGAGCTGTTCATAAGATTATAATGTGTATATATAAATTGTGGATTAATGTGTATATATAAATTTCAAGTTTTGTCAACAGTGTCAAGCCTGACTTTTTTATTAATGTGTATTTGGTCAACCGTGCCAGCGTGACTTTTGTTTTCATATGCATCCCTGAAATGACACCGTGGTGTTAGCATGGGCATTATACTAGTTGCGATACATACGTGAGCAATGCAAACTACACGTACTGGTTGGTTGCCCCTATCTTACATTCACGGAACAGTTTCTTTATGCTGGTTTATTTGGCATCATGCATTGTCGCGAGATACGGCCATGCATGTGACTGCTAGCCTTTCTTACGAGCTTATCCGTCGGCGTTGAAATTTGGCCTAACAGGGACAAATAATGTCGTATTGAATCCAAGCCGTCGCTTTTAATTTGCTGGTTAAATTTATCATTTTTTAAGAACCTCTTCGTCGTTTGCTGGTTGAATTATCATGTCAGCTTCCGACGACCATTGATTCTTTAGCATAATACTCCATGCCGATTATTCTGATATCTGCATAACGCCCATGAATGAATGATGAACCCATGCCTTATCCTCATCTAAATACGTCACTGGTCAGAAAGCTAGCAGGTATCCTAACACAAATATTTAATATAATATTTCATATTGCCGTTATGCATGTTTTATGCCATATTAAACAGCTATTGCTTTCGGTTAAGGAGTGCTTATCAGACAAGAAAGGGGCGCTGACCCCAGTTGGCTCTCAATGGTCATCACATGATTGAAACTAGCTTCCATCAAGTCAAGTGGTGGCCTCTGGTTTATATACCACTGCTGAACGAAAGTGATTGTTTTTTATTGCTGCTGCCCAATGCAAAATTGTTTGGCGTGTGTATATATATAATAATAGTTATATATGTTCATCTTATCCCAAATCTTATCCTCAGCTGATTCTTTATTTGTCTTCAACGTGTAAGTTTCAGTTGTCACACCGTTATTGGCGTTATATATGCATGCAAAAAAGGGTGGGGCACGTAAAAGACAGATGGCTACATCATACTGGTTCTAGCTTCTAGAAATTAAATCATTATTTTGCACTGTTACAGAAATGATCGGTAAAGATACTATATTTTATTTTCAAAGAGGAATTTCTTAGCTAATTCTACCATATCTCTGAATCATATATAGATAGCCCGGATAGGCCCCCAAAGACAATGGTATCCATCTCGATCGCCAAAAATCGAGAGTGCATCTCTTGAGAAACTGCCTCTGCTTCTAGGCTGTGGCCCTGGAAGTCAATTTCTAGTGGTGAGCTTCTTAAGGGTCCACGGTCCACCCCTGTAAATAGTTGTTACACAAAGAAACGTATGACTTTTTGAGATGAAAAGTCTGAAGAAAATAAACTTTATATAAGTTATCATGGGGCGTCTTTTGTCCAAAAACACCTTGTAGAGCTTGACGGCTAGAATTTGGTAGTTGTCACTTTTTTTATTTAAGATCATGTGGAGGCCGAAATGTTCATTTTAATGTCTTGGACTGAAATTTAATTTGTTGATTCTTTCAAACAACATCAGATGTTCACATCGCTTATATCAAAGTTGTAGCTAACAACCGGATCTACAACTTTCTAGTTCTTATTTTTTATTTGAGATTGTTTCGAGCTCCAAATTCTTGGATTTCAAAATTCAAATAACAACCTTAGATATTGAAAGGTCTATATCAAAGTTATAGTTATTGACACGATCTGCACAACTTGGTAGTTTTTTGTTATTTGAGATCATTTAAGGACCCAAATATTTATTACAAACTCTCATATCTATTTTTTTTTTTCTAGACTAGATGCGGGTGATCCATCTCTGGAAATTATTTCCAGCCAAGCAAGAAAAAGAAAAATTCTCCTATTACAATTAGCAACAGACATTTAATGGGATGGTAAAAAAGGCTCACGTGAGGGTTGGAATCATGTGACTTGTAACTTGCAATGCGCAAACGTGGTGCTTAGCTTTTTTTAGATAAAGGATAGTTAATATCAGGCATCATCTACATAATGTAGAATCAAGCCATTATTACAGAGTTGCAGCACCCAAACACACCAAGTGAGTTCTTACAAGCAAACACGAAGCTCAAAACGACACACAAAAGTTTAGACTAATGAAGATCAATCCAACTAGTAGATAACCATCCATTTGACACGAAGAACTACAAGGCAGACTCTTTGAGGAGGCCACAGACATGGATGAATACATCCCTCCGTTCCTCATGGAGCTGTAACTGCGCCCACACCCGAAGCCAGTGCGTTCCACTGAACAATACTTGTAAGAAAGATTTTGGTCTACATTTGTCAAAAACAACTTCGTTTCTTGTAAGCCATATTGCCCAGCATAATGATACTGCTGCAGTTAGTAATAACAAGTTTGGTTTGGTCCTTCCCAGATTACACCAGCGATGAAAAATATTGTACATGTTTATTGGTCTCGGTATCCCAAACACTATTGCACGGCTCGCCACAAGAAATTAGCGTATGCACAGTTAGAAAAAGATGTTGAATGGACTCTGGTTTATGACAGAAGCAACAATTCTTATCCCCATTCCAATTTCTTCTGATGAGACTGTCTTTAGATAAGATAACACCTTTTTTCAAATAGCACATGAAGCTTTTAATCTTGGT